AATGGAAATGAATTAAAATATATAGATAAACTTTGGCAAAGGGGAAAGGAAGAAAAAATATGATTATTAATGATTATAAGTAAGGTGAAGATAAAATGAGATATATTAAGAAGTTATCTTAGCGATTTACTGGGGGGATACTTTAAAATACATTTTAAAATATACAATTGATTATTTAATGGATATTAGAAGTGTACAATAAGTATTTTATTATGATTAAAGTAGGAGAATGAAAAATACAATGTGGATCCTAAATATATTGGCTTTATTTTACTTTTACTCTTTTTAGATTGTTTAGTATATATTGGCTTAGAGAAAATTAAGGATAATAATGATGTGTAATGTAAAATAAAATAGGTGGTAAGCTGAAAATGGAAATAATAGGGGATAAAGAATTGAAAACCTATGTGTGGATGAAATGATATTGATATTGAATTAATGACTTGAAATATGAAATGCAAATTTATTTAAAGATGAGTGAAATGGATAATGATATATTATATAAGATTAATGGAAATGAAAATTTGGCTATGTACAAGTGTTATAATCCAGAATCATGTTGCCCACGTGAAGAGATGTGTAAAAATTAAAAAAATTAAAAACTTTTTATATACAAAAAAAGAATCTTTAATCAGTATGAAAAACGTCTTAGAAAATCAGTCTAAAAGACTGCATTGTCAGGTGTTTTTCTATATAATGATTTGATAGCTTTTAGAGAAGAATATAACAACCAGCAATTCTCTCCGCATAACCTTTTACAGAGTATCATGGAGATACTCCAAGCTTTTAGAAATGAACCCTAATTGCAGAATTTAATGCCAGGATTTGGGATCCAACCTGATCAAAACAAAATGTAACAGCAGATATAAAAGCTGTTGAAGAATATGATGTAATAAAGTACATATAATTAAAAGTCAAAACATCTGAAGAGGCAACAATGACTTCATGAGAGGCTACTGGGTTTCACTGAGTTAAGCATATTTTCCAGACATGAGAGGACTTCAAAGTCAAACTTTTCCCATTCTGATTGATTTTTTTAAAAAAATAAACTTATTATAGTCTATAACTTAATCTTTTCAGCTCAAGATGTTTGATGAAAACAATGATGGAAAGCTGGAACTGACAGAAATGGCCCGGTAAGAGGAAAAAAAAGTAGAGAATTTCATCAATTGGTTGTGGAACATGACACAATGCAGGTGGGCAAAGGGAGTGCTGGTAATTAGTGCAAAGCCAGTAGGATGTATTGGACTTGTTCCTCCAAGGATAAACTTAGCAGTTCATCCTTGGGTGGAAAAGGTCAACCCAAGCAAGCAATTGTCCAAATGTCTACATGCACTGTTTTTTGACATTGGGAAGGAAATGAGGGTTTCCAAGAAACATTAGCACTTCTAAGCCCAGCTAGCAATATCCTCTTCTACTGCCAACAATTTGTTTGTTTGTTTGTATCCCTTTATTATTATTATAAATAACTTAAGGCAGTGAACATATCCAACACACCTTCCTCCTCCTATTGCCCCCGCAACCATCCTGGGAGGTGAGCTGGGCGGAGTGTGTGATTGGCCCAAGGTCACCTACTTACCTAATTCCAGGCTTCAAATAAATACACATTTTTTTTTAAAAAAAATGTCTTCTCAAAGAGTTTGTCTACAAAACACAGGAGGTTTCAGCTCATTTGACTTTCTCAGCATCTGTTAATCTTTAAAGGGAGTGAAATGCATGCGTGCAAAGTGTTTTGAAGCCAAAGTATTTTGACCTAGAAAGAGTTTCAATTTGAAATGCTCGATTTTGAGTTCAACCAGCTGTTCACTGAAGTAGTGTGAGCTGGAAATAATTTCCAGTGGAAAACACCTGCAATGAAACATTAATGTTTTCAACTTGAAATAACTCTTAACAAACTTCTGTTTCCAGCTCAAAGCATTCCAAAATTGAAATGATTTGCTTCCTCTGTTCTCTGCTTCTTTATTTACTATGGAATTGTTCTAAATTCCTCTTGTTTTCTTCCAAGGTTATTGCCAGTACAGGAAAACTTTCTCCTTAAGTTTCAGGTATGCCTGTTTAAAAGTGTTTTGTATTTTCATATACTGAAATCTTGATTCGTTTCTGTTCTAATATTTGCCCTTCTTTTGAATATTAGGGTATTAAAATGTGTGGAAAGGAATTTAATAAAGTTTTCGATACATTTGATTCAGTAAGTAGAATTCTTTTTAAAAAAACATCTGTGAATCAAAGTTTTCAATTTATTTCTAAGCTGCAACAAGTCAATGAAAGCAGCAGGAATAAATAATAGGAAAACTCAAGTACTGTTTTTTTCTTTTCAGGATGGGAATGGCTACATAGATGAACAGGAATTGGATGCTTTGCTAAAAGACCTCTGTGAAAAGAACAAAAAGGTAATTCTAAGATTTCCATTTAAATTATACTTAATGGGGCTTTTTCTCTTCCCAAGTCTAGACAGTTCAAGAAGTTCTTTTGAAATGCTCTATATTTAGAATTCTGGATACAAAAGGAATGAAATCCTATATGTAATATCAGGTAGCTCAGTTTACTCCTACATTAATCTATTCGCATCACTGGTTTAGTAAAACAGCCGCCATTTCTCTTAGATGTGTCCCCAGGCTGGAAGTATAGTAGGTGTCTTCCTTCTTTGAACTCGGTATCTATTAACAATGAATTGAAAAGGACCACACAATGCTCTGGCTTAACAAAGACAAAAATAGCTGCTCTTTTCTCAAACCCCTTTCCACTGTTTTCTTTCAAGCAGTCCTCAGGAAGCAGCAATTAACCATATTCCCTTAGAGACCATAAATGTCAAACAAGCAGTCCATATCTAGCAACACCGCTGGTAGTTAATTCATAGTAAAATGGCAGGGAACATGCACTTAAGTGACAAAAGAATGGAAACACAGTTGTCGGTATGGTACAATGTCACTCCTCTGGGTTCAGGGTTCATGTAGGTTGCTAAGGTGAGGTTTAGCATCCCAGTCAATAGGCTGTAAGTGGCTTCCCAAACCAAAATTCTGTAGTAAAATAATGTGTTTGGGTTTTTTTGCTCTTTGCTCGTATAAAAGTATTTTCTTTTGCATATTTTGCAAAAACAAATTTCAAAAAGTGTGCATGAAGCCTTATTAGGTTTAATACAATGTTTTGATTTGATTGTCCCAGCCCAGAAATTCAACCTTTCCATTTGGTGGCACCACATCACTGGCTGAGCCCACTGTGAGAGCCAAATAAGTAATCAAATACATAAATAAATAATCCTCACCTGGCAAAGGACTATTATGCTATTCAGTAGGCTTTTTTAGCTCGTGAAAGTGTATAACTGGGTTATACAAGTAGTCCTCAACTTACAACCACAATTGAGCCCAACCTTTATGTTGTTAAGTGAGAAATTTGTTAAGTGAATTTTGCCCCGTCTTGCAACTTTTTTGCCATGTTTGTGAAGTGAATCACTGCAGTTGTTAAATTAGTAACACTGTTGTTAGGTGGATTTGGCTAAATATGACTTAGTTGTCAAGCATCTGAATGTAAATCACATAACCATGGGGATGCTACAGTGGTCATGAGTGTGAAAAATGGTCATAAGTCATTTTTTCAGTGCCATTGTAACTTCGGTCACTAAACGAAAATGATATGGCGTGTCAAATTTTTTAACTTTCAAACATTAGGGGTGTTTAAAAGTTGTGACTTGCCTTGGGGGTGGTAAAGGTATTTTGATTACTTTAATATCATTTGGATGTGCCTGGTAAGTAACCACATAAATATCGTAACTTTTTAACATTCTGTTTGTTTCATTTGTAAGTTAAGGACTATCTGCCTATTGCACTAAAGCAGGGGTTATAATCTGCAACAGTTGAATTCATAACAACTGCAAAAACAAACAAACAGTAGTTTAGCACAACACATGCACACAATCCCAGAAATACATAATGCTTCTCACACTGGCAAACATTTCTCAACCGACTCCTTTCAAACAGCTTTGAATTAACAACTGCTTCCCTTCCCAATCACTCCAGTGTAAATGTGAGAAATGCAATTCAACACTACTGGAGGATGTCAAGTTGAGAGGAATGATATCTAGTGGCTTTAAAATACATTTTCTTTTTTTAAAAACAGGAATTAGATATCAATAACCTTGCAACCTACAAGAAGAACATTATGGCCTTGTCTGATGGAGGAAAACTTTACAGAACAGAACTTGCTCTCATCCTCTGCGCTGGGGAAAATTAAAAGTCCATCTCTCATTTCCACTCCAACTAGTAATATATTGTTATCTTTAAAAAAAACACCACAAAAAACAAAAACAAAATTAACTGTGCATTATAAGAGAGTAGGCTTTATTTCTTTTATATTTTTAAATTGAAAATCGCATATAGATAATTAGCCATGTTATGTGGCACTTTCTTTTCAGCTTGTTTCTACTATGTTCGTAATGTACAGCTTTTGTAACTAAAGAGGATGTCTTAAATTACCGTGGGCCAGTCTGTCAATGCATTTACCAATAGCTTTGTTTCTGTGAGACATGGGAGAAGGTTTCAAGAGCGCAGCTGAGATTGGTATTAGCTAGGTCTCCATTAAGCAAATAGGTTTTCAAACAACGTCAGAAACACATTCAAAATCAGTTTAGGATGATGGTGGATTTCTTCTTTTACTTTTTCTTTCTTGTAAAAGAATGTAGGAGGCTGTTGGGATCCACCAGAATTGTTTGGCGGCATCATCTTCTAGAAAGTGATGGTCAGCCTTTTTGTCAAGTGTACTAAATCTCAATCAGTCCAAAAAGACTAGTCATCTCTTTCTAGGACATGGGTGTCAAACTTATGGCAACATGTTGCTGTCACGTGACTTTTTCCCCCCTTCTTGGAGCTGGGGTAGGCATGGCCTGTGCGTGATGCATCCAGCCCACAGGCTGCCAGTTTGACACCCATGTTCTAGGAGATATCCCATATCTAAATATACCTGAAACCACTGAGAAATGTTTTAAGAAGTTCATTATTAGCAAACCAGTTTCAGTCGAGAAAGGATTGGGGCATAGATACATCAGCAGTGCATTCATTTACTATGATCAAGTCAACTTCCAATATATTATAAATGTCTTGCTCTTCAGCTTCCTTAAATTCACTACCAAGGTCAACAGAGGCTCTGGATGTGAAGGTGCTGAACTTCCTGAGGAGTTGTTAAGCTTCCTTGTTGCCTGGCAAGAACAACACTGTATTTTTACTGGACAAATGGCATACTTCTAATCAGTTAAAAATCAACACACCAATTTGCCTCATATTTTACTTTCAAACTTTAGCATTTGTAAATGCTGTTATGCCAGAGAATGTCAGTCCATTTTGCTAAAACTATTTCCACATTTTGCATAACATAACTCTTTCAAACTGCTGTTTTTACATCATTCTGTGTAATCTATGATTAAATTTAATATGCTAATATATTAGTACACGATTTGTTTGATATTCTGTTCTATCACAGATAATAATAAAGGCTACACAATCACACAGATCAATTAACAACCCAGCTAATTTTCCAAATCTAGAAAATCCTCTAATTTCGACAAGAAATAGTCAATTTATCTCCTAATTTTTATAAGTGGTTGAAGCATATTCAGTGCAGATAAAATTGCTTTATCATCCATGTACTGCACCTAACCTGGAAATGAGTCAAGGAGCACAGAAAACCATGTGTCTGACTCCATACGTACCTACATCACAAATTCCATTTAATTATTTTGAGTAGGATTTTTGTCATTTAGTTGTAACAATCCAATAAAAGTACACCATACTACCGGTTTACCGCAAAAGGAAGCTATAGAGGCTGACTCTCTGTCATATCAATTCAAATGGCAGTATATAAAACATTTTAAATATTGTTTATCAAATCGCTGTACATTCATTTAATGGGTTTTGGGAAACTGTATTTCACTGGGCTGAAATGTATTCCCTGCATCCAATCAGATCTACATAACTTTCAAACAAATGTGATAATATTCCCAAGTCTGTATTAATGTTGATTTAACTTGTGATGCATCTACTGTATGCTTTCTTGATCAATCTTCCTTTAAATGTATTTTCAGAGTTATTTAATATAGGGCTGTATTTTTTCCTACCATATGACTAGTACATTTCACCCATACAAATGAGATCCAATTAGCAAGTGCTCATATGGTTTTTTTAAAAATGTGTACTACCTTTATGAGTGTTTCTTCATCAGAAAGGTTACTACATCAAGGTTACTGCTTAATCAGGTCAGAAGGCTCTTGTCTTAATTCTACTTCAAGTATTAACCATTTAAACAATGGTTATTGTTGTATGGGCTGTTGCATGTTCAAAAGATTTGTATACTATTTCAGCAGTAGGCAGCTTCATATGGTTATGGGACTGTTTAATTATTAGCATTTAGGAATACCATGAAGAGATAAAGCTACAGTGAAATCATTTAGCTAACTTGAAATTATACAAGGCATCAGTTAAGTCATTTGATATATAACTATAGCTTTTGAAAAAGCTCGTCTTACAGGATATTCCTTTTATTTACCATGGTGGATATTTATTCATACAGGATTAATACTCCTATTGATCAAAATATCAATCTTAAGTGACTCAAATATTACTTAAGATGAGCCTATAATTAAGCATCTAAATATACATGCCCTAATTTTTGTTAATACTGTGTGGCTACAAAGCCCACTGGCATTTAATAAGAGCAGCTGCTGTGAATCTTCAGAAATTAGGCCAACGAATATTAATTACCAATTCATATTAGTATATTTTATTATAAATTGAAGCACAAGGGCGTATGATATATTTTGTTGGATGTTCCCTCCCAACTCTTTACATGAAAGAAAATCTTTATTCTATGAAGGTGATCAGCTCAAAGTGGAGTTGAAAACGTAAAGGTAACAGTGATACATTGTATACCAGATTTGCTATCATCATCTCTCTAGCCTTTTTCAACTGTATTGCTTTTCTTGGGTGTCAAATGAAAACATTATCATATTTATAAAAGAAAATAAATTATGTTCTTAAGAATAATCCCAGCACCATTAGTTTTCCTTTATGTCAACGCCGTCTAAGGAAAACACTACAGCTTAATGATAGAAGTCATTTTCAAACAAATTTTCAAAATCAATATAGGGCATTAGCAGGTAGGGCTGAGAAAGAATCCTGACTGAAACCTGGATACCTGTTTAGAATAAAGGAGATACATCGGTGCTCTTTAAACATTTTTTATCTCTATTTCTGGCCATGATGACTACAAGTAAGCAAAACTGCCATATGACAACACAAGAAAGGCCACATTTCTCCCTTATTTAGACAGTGCCAAGGTAGACAAAACAAGTCTGCTCGGAGGCTGGATTTTCCCATATTTGGATTACAGAATTGATCTTTCTGGCTTTATGCAGTATAGGCTTATTAAATCATGACACCCCCCCCCCATCAAGTGGATTAGCACAAGTCAATAAACTATAGCAATCCGACTAAAGAGAATGTGAAAATGCCACTCCTAACTGACCTTAAGAACGTGGTCCAAATTCAAGCAGTGTTTAATAGTTTCAGATTTCTTTTACGGATTATTAAGTGTCAATTATTGAGAACTGAATCTTGTCTCACCTGCCCAACCAAGTTCTGTTTTTAGAAGTCTTTGACAAAATTAGAATTCAGCAGTTATGCATTAAGCAGACACCCAAGAACACATCAGATTTCAGGGGCATCCAGTTTATCCCCATGTCCTAAATGCCAGACTGGAATGAAGGGAGCTGTCACTCCTATAACTTCCAAAAAGGTGATCATATTATTTCTGACAACATTTGCATTTTTTTTTCCAATTCAAGGATGCATTCCAATAACTGTCAGCATAAAAAAACCCGGAACGGCATCAACTCAAGATGCCATGTGAATTTAATTCATTGCATCAGTGATGTCTGCTGGTGGTTTCAAATGAAGGAATATGTGATACCAACTGTCAAATATTTGCAGGCTTTTATAACTATTGTGTTATGGTTCCCTCTAGTGGACACTGCTCCTTACAATATTGTCAACATAAGATGAAGAATATGATTAGAAGTTTCAATTTCTATACTAAACGTAGAAGTATTCAGATTTAACCCCTGCCTCTTCTTCAATTCCTTTATTAAATGGCACAATTTCTCCTAGACTGCAGCATGCTGTTTCCTATAGCCCAAGCAAACACATCTTTATTTTTTTCATCGTAGAAAGTATGTTTTACAGCAGGGGTCCCCAACCGCCGGTCCGCGGACCGGTACCGGGCCGCGGAACAAGCCTTACCGGGCCGCTGGTTGCTGGGCGCCGCCATCTTTTTTTGGTAAAAAAGCGCTTCTGGTGAGCTTTTCCGGGTAGAAAGCTCACCGGAAGCGCTGTTTCGTCATAAAAAGATGGCGGCGCCCAGTTGACGCCGGTACCGGGCCGCGGCGCCCAGCTGATGCCGGAACCAGGCCGCGGCGTCGAAAAGGTTGGGGATCCCTGTTTTACAGTGTATGTTTTTAAAATATTTTCTTACCAATCCTATAGCTGCAATAAAATTATTGCAGCTATAGGATTGGTAAGAAAACATTTGGTAAAATTGGTAAAATTATATATTATCATTGTAATTCAAATGCAGTTCCTTCGGAATTATGGATACCTGTCTGATTTTCACTTAATATGAATGTAGATTGAAAAGATAGTGCCCTATCTAACATGCCTAATATTCAGTAGTAATATTTGTTACACCAAACTGCCCAATACAGAGGCAATTCCTATCTTCAGATTCTAGACTATTCAAACAAGCGAGAAATCCACTTGTTATTCAAGATAGACTACTGACCATAAACAATAATACAGTCTTCAACTTACGACTGTTCATTTAACAATGTTTCAAAGTTATAATGGCTTTGGAAGCAAGTGTGATGACCTGTACTCAGATTTACAATTGTTGTACCACTCCTGCAATCACATGACTGCAATACAGGCATTTATGATCAGTTGCAGCATCCTGTAGTCCTGTGAACAAGATTTGCAACTGTTTTTGACGATTTCTAGCAAAATAAAAAACAAAACAAAAAAACCCACCAACCCTTTGGGAAAGCTGGATTTGTTTAACAACAAGGGGATTAGTTTAATGCCTGTCTAAAAGTTGTCATAAAATCCGATCCAGCTTGACTTACAATCTCGACAACTTATAATAGAAATTCTGGACCCAATTGTGGTTGTTAAGTCGAGGACTTCTCGTACACAAAAAGAAACATTTAATAATTTGTGTATGTCTGTTAAAATATTGCCTACAAAGAATGCAACATTGGACTTTGTGAATGTAAAATGGATACACATGGACATACAGATAATTATCAGCCGTGGTCATTTTATTGCTAAAATACAGAAAATTTTAGAAAGCAGCTAAAAAAAAGTCACATAAAGATGTATGTTATGAGCCTTTTGTTTTTCGTATCATTTGTTCCATGATATTCCACTGGTCATTGGTGACCTAGCACAGAAAAGAAAACACTTTAGTTGAGATGCTGATTTTTTAACTATCATCATGTAGTGTGTTGATATAATGGCATGACCCTGTCAGGGATAATGTTCCTAAATCGCATTCAGTTTTCCAAGTGAAATCAATGGGACTTAAGCTTAGTACTCAAATCAAAAGTATATAGTAATACATTAAAATTGTAAGAGGAAAAATAATTCTTAAAAGTGATGGATAGAGGCGGCAATAACCTTATAAGGCCTGGATGGTGTGTTTTTTTTACCAAGCATCCAAAGCTGACATTGGGAGGAAAAAGAGAAATACGATGGGAAGTATAGCAGAATGGAGGGCAGGATTAACTGATTAGAACACCTGATAGGAGTTTTCCATTTTGCAGCCTTTTGTTACAAAGTTTTCCTTGTAAATTATTACCTTACGTAATTCATTGAATTCTCCAGCCATAGACACGTATTCACCACCATCCATTCTAATGACCTGTAAGATTGATGCAGAGGTTGTTTCATTAAGGTATTCAAATTATCAGCTGAATTAGTTTACTTCAGTAGAACTTTTGTACAAGAAGTTCTCAACTTCTGTGACCTACTGAACTGTACTAAATTTGCCCATAAAGCATTCTTTCCACTAGCCATAGGTAGTTTCTAAAAAGTTAAAGAGTGATTCATAAAGCATTCTCTTCAAGCCCACCGGGCGCCGTAAAAATGCTGCAATTAAACGCCTTCAAGGAATCAGGTGACACTTGTGCGTAATTACACTTCTCTAACAGCAGCAGTGAGCTTCGTGGACTCAGGATCAACTTACTGCTCCATTAACCCAATTCGCATAATCACTACAGAGGTAGGTGGCAAGGTTGGCGATCTCTTCCACCGTTCCCAGGCGACCACAAGGAATTCTCTGGATCATTTCTTTCTCAAAGATCCCTGTGGGGTCCAGGCGGCTAAAGGCTCCCTGGGAAAAAAAAAAAACAGGGAAAAAATTGATTGTTGTAGAAAAAAGATTCATGGCTTGCAAAAAAAAAAAAAAGGAAAAGAAAAAATCACAAGGAAGCACTGCTCCACTCCAAAGTACTCCCATTTCTAAAAGGAGACTCACAATTACAGGAACTCCTTGAGTTACAACACACAGATAGTTGTAAATCGGGTTACACTTCTGAGCGACCCGATTTTACGACTTTTTTGTGGCCTTTGTGGTTCATCAAATTCGCAATTGTTAAGCAAACCAGTGGCTTGCTATGGCCACAGTTTTGCCATACCCAACCCTGTGTGGGACAGTGCTTCTGGTCACTGCAAAGAACTCAGTTAATTTCTTAATGAGTAATAATATACCTTTGTTTTTATTGGACCTGGTTGAATCACATTGAATCTCATGCCGTATCTACCCCACTCAGCTGCAAGAGACCTAAGAAATCAACGGAGATTAATTAAATATTCTGCATCCAGAGATTAATATAGCTGCAAAATGTAAGGCTGCAAAATGAGCACAGACTACGGTTTTGTGAAAAATATAGACAGATCTAAAACGAAGATTTACAGAAGAAGTGGGAAAACAGTTAAACTAATCTTTCTCTCCTTGAATTTTAAACAAGAGAATCAAAGGTATCAAGAAAAAGTAATGCATTTTTAAGTAGTACTTACTTGCACAGGGCATCTACACCTGCTTTGGCAGAAGCACTTGGTACTACAAACCCAGATCCACTTTCTGCATAGACTGTTGTAATGGCCAGAAATGCTGCCCCTGAAAAATTCAGGAAAAGAAATGTGGGCCGTAAGTTATAACTTTGACCTGACACTTGACTGAGTTTTTCTTATATTTCTTGTAGAAATCATGACATGTCATTCAAGAGCGAAACACTAGCATTTATATTTAAACCTTTATGGACATGTATGTATCTGTGTATCTGTATCTATTCATGCACATAATGTAATAATTTACATTTTCTGTTTGTAGACTTTAAAAGCATCCATATAAGAAGAAATATTATAATTTTAAACAAGAAATTCATACCCATATTTACAGCACTATTTTGGCAACAGAAAGGGATGATAGATACTTAATAATTACAAAAATTATTATTTGTACTATTTGTGATTTGCAAATAAGCCACCATCCATTGGACAATTAAACAGATTATTATAATTTTTTTTCTTTACTTTGTAGCTCAGTTTCAAAGGTTTCAGTTTTGTTGACCAACTGTTAATAAAACAGAAAGGGAGCATATATTTGACCACATGTACTTAAGCAATAAGTACGTACACTTCATGTTGAACATATTACTGGCAATATGAAGTTAAAGAGAAAATAGCACTAGCAATAGCACTTAGACAATATATAACTTCACAGTGCTTTTACAGACCTCTCTAAGCAGTTTACAGAGTCAGCATATTACCCCCAACAATCTGGGTCCTAATTTTACTCACCTTGGAAAGATGGAGGGCTGAGTCAATTGTCAGGGTTCCCAATTCCAATTAAAAACTACGAGAAAGGCATTTTCTCAAAGTCTCCTTTTATTAGAGTAGGCATACTGGCACATCTGGGAAAACCCAAAT